ATTTATATACCATTTTATTTCTAACATAGTTACTTATATGCAATATTAGTTGTTAACAATAATAAAAAATAAATCTTAAAGAAAAACACTATAGTTCGGCCGCTTAGAAAGCGACCTCCTCCAGCATTGGTTTAGCATTAGCGCGCAGGTCGTTTTCTAAGCGGCCGAACTATAGTGTGTGTGTTTAATCTATATATAAAATCCAATGTATGTAGGGTCAGGATGGTTTTTGTGAAGTTTGGTGCAGATCCGTCAAAAGGGCTCCGCCCCAGTGGCTCTTGAGTTTCCCATGTTAACCTTATGAGTACTCATATTTAAATGGAATTAAAGAATCTTAACAGCTGGTTCAACTAAACAATTTGATTCTGTGATGTTCAATAGCATAAAAAGTTAAAAGGTTTACCAACAGGGTGGAGCACTATTATTTTTTTTAATTTATGACAACAGTTTATTTATAACCAAAAAGTGAGTGAGCGTAGCGAACGAACTTCAACCAGGACGTGATTCAGCCATGCGAACGAACTCATCTTGAAAATGAACGAGCATTTGACATAAAACCACATTAGGACAGGACGACGTCTGTCGGGCCAACTAATATTTATATATGATTAATCGACGTTCAAATAAAGCGAGAATACATGTTAACTGGTCTGAAGTTGACTCTATGTGAGTTGTAACCGATATCCATTCTACAACACGCCAGATCGCATAAATGCAGGTATTTTACACCAATTTATAAATAATCTAAGTTCATCTACACTCAAAAAACCATACGTTTACAATAGATCAAAAAAGCTCAGTACGTTTACGATTCCTTTTCTGTCAACAGTTTGGTTGGATGAAATGCCAAACTAGATTATAAGCTTTGCTCAGTTTACTGGCCAATTCATTACACACGCTGGCCCATGCACTGCCAAAGGCACACAAATTGACAGCCTAGCATTTCTCAACATGTGTTGAATTATAATAGACACTATCTACTAACACCACAAATTCCACGTATTCTACTGAGTTCAATTCTACCGATAAGTAGCCCTGCCATCCCATATTAGCAACATTGATTGATATGGATTAAATTTGATTCAATGATTAAATTATTTATATCCTCAAAGTCTTACAACGTATGTGCAAAGTCATTGATAATACAAAATTAAACATGGATAAAACATGTACTTCGTTTACATGGTTTAGAATTGATATTTAAAATATGTAACACAGAATGTTTTTATCTATCTACAGTATGTTATCTTGTTCACCTAATGGAGGAAACTTGAGGTATGGAAAGCAGTTGAAAATTTAGGCGTAAAAATATTCAAGTGTCAGTGGTTTTTCAGTGAGGATTTTAAATTTTAAACACTTAAAAGTTTCAGACGCCCACATAATCTTAGATTTAGTAGATTTTTCATATTTTAAAAGTGAAAAATCTGTTAATTTTCAGGCTTTAAATAAACAATTCTGACTAAAGAAACAGTAATCTTAGTTAGTAACAAAGTTATACAGACTCCATTTTAAAATCGCCACGTTTTCATACTGAGCATAAATAAGTCAATAGCCTAAACTAATTAGATGATTAAGTGATATTGTTTAGACATTTTTAACTTATAGGTTATAGTTGTGTTGCATAATCAATTACCGCACCTCAATACAATTAAAGATGTTTTGAGACCTTTGTTGCATACGACAACATTTAATAAAGTAGTGTGTCTGATTAGTTGTAAGTAGGGGAAGAATCAAAGTTTGTTTGGTTATTATGATTTATAGATTATTATTTATTTTTCAAATAGCTTTTATTGCATTTGTGACTGCTTCATCTGCAAGGTGTGTTTTTTTTTTATTTATGGAATGTAAATTATCAAAAGGAAAAATTAATAGAGTATGTTCCATTGATGAATGAATGTATTCTGCTGCTGCAAAAAAGCCAAACATATTTTTTATTTATTTAAACTTTGTAATACAATTTTAAAAATAATATGCTTCAGTGAGTTTGTTTACAGTGGAAACATTTTAGTAATTATTTGACTTAAAATATCAGAAAAAGTAGACTTATCCAACACAATTTTTCGAGGCATCATTGTATCTCCTAGAAATAATTACATACTTTCTAGGTACGATTCATGTGTGTAGATTCATTAGTACAAGACATGTGACACAAAGTCGTGTATTAATCATTAATTTCTCGTCTGCTTTTCTCGGTTTTCGCAATGGAAGCATCTGGCTTGCGCTCATTAATGTAACTATGTGGTTGTTCACTCTCACTGTAACGTCAACTGTTTTAATTACTCTCTTCTTCCAAAACAATTTACTCATTTTTTATTTAAATGAATCGAGTTATTATTTTACTTACATCTCTCTCGAAGACATTTCGAAGGTCGTAGAATGTTGTGTACTGGACCTATTTCTTATTTTGTTATAAACTATGCAAGGTATTTTTTTTTTATTTTAATTTGCAAAAAATGCTCATATTGCGTCCTACAAGCATACTCAGACGATAATAATAATTAATTATACACAAAATGTTTCCAAATTGTCTTGACATATTTTGTAGATTGTTTTTTTTTTTGCCGAGGCAAACATAAAATGTCATATAAGTAAAAAATTTGATATGCATATAGGTCTAAAATGCCCAGATTTTTGTTTGTGATTTTTATGAATTATTTTATATCTTGGGCATTTTCAAGATAGAAAATTCAAAATTGGTATAAATGTGTATTGTAGTAGGCAAATAAAAAGAGCTTGCAAAGTTTCGTTCAAATATTTCAAACTGTTTCAATATGGCGGCCACTTAAAATCTTTAATGCAAAATTTCATGAAACCCGTGAATATTAATAAAGTTTTTTCCGATAAAAAAGATAGAGAATTTAAATCCAAAACAAATGAGACCTTGTTTGTTAAAATCGGATGACAGACAACTGAGTTAGGCTATCAGTTTTCTCCTACATTTGGTTACGCAATTTAATAGCACTACCATACTGCTCTGTAAAATAACAAATAATAAACAATATGTCCAATTTATAAAATAATTCTTAAAAATCACATACAGGCCGAGAAACAGAAATCTAGGCATTTTACTTTTAGGTTATAGTTGGGTATCATACTTGTACAACATTTTATGTTTGTCTTAGAGCAAGGAACGATTTCACAAAATATGTCCAGACAATAATTTGGAAACCCCCTATGTATTCTTCTAACATTTGATATTTAGCTACAGTTAGTTCTATGTTACAAACATGTTACAACTAAATCCTCCTATGTAATCACAGTACTTTTGCAAACATATCATGCACTTTATGTGGATTACATTAATATTACTGTGTGTGTACTTTTCAAGCAATAATCAAGTTTTCTTTTTAATTTTATCAAACTACTATACATAACTGATATTTGGAATGATGATAACTGTTATATTTTTGTTGATTTTAATATCACTCAATGTAAAAGCAAATGGAAGCTTGCCAACAATCATGCTCGGCAGTTTCCAAGACGTAGTTGAAAAGTTATGAAGGTCAAAAGAAATGCTCAATGAAGGTTTATTTGTTAAGATTTTGGATACAACGGTCAATCCACAATAACTTGCACTAGTGATAGAACTAATCTTAAGCAATAGTGCACGTAACAGGTAAAAATCAAATTCTGTAAAAGTTACAGGACAGTCGAGTGTGTATTTGTAGCGCACACAGCTATATCATTCATGACTCAATCACATGTTATTGTCCTGTCAGGGGATTTCAATTGTTAACAAATAATCAGAGCCTAGGAAATAATGTATTCAATAATATTATTTTCATGATTTCATAAACCAGCTGTTTCCTGTTAGTGGGTTTATGGAGGTTTGTGTACTTACAACCACTCTCTAACATTTTCTTTTCACCATTGAAACATTTCACAGATTGAATTGATTTAAAGAATAACAGTACTCGGTTATTATTATTTTTTGTAATAACACAACCTTATTTAAAAAACATCGCATGGAAATTTATTTGATCATGTATCAGCATTTGATTTTCTTATCCATGGTACTCAAATTAAAAATGTAAAAAACATGATTTTCAATTGTTTACTCTTGAAACATAAAAATATTTGATTTGGATTACATGATTGTTCTACATCATTCAGATACTGAGAAGATCAGGTACAGTACATTGTATCCCATGCCATAACTCTCTGGTACTACATTTTGTACTTCATTAAATTCACTGTGCGTGTTTAACTTAAATAGGAAATATATCGGACATGTTAAGGGAAATAGTTTTTACAAATGCAAATTATGTTAAAAAGGAAGCTGTGGCGGTTCAACTCAAAAATAATAGTGACCGGTTAAACTGCAACCTTTTTAACGTGTTAAAAGGCACGTATGCATACTAGTATCTTTTTTTAAATAACCCTGTTACTAATCCCTATTTAACATTCCGTCTGTTAGCAAAGCAGGTTTTAAGCTTTGGCGTCGTCTAGTATATTATTTTAAACCTACAATACACGGTTAGGGGCCCATTTTTAAGCATCAACACATTTATAACTCCCATGGGTTGAAGTATCGTTCATTAGTATATTTCTAGGCAATTTTGATCTTATATCTATGTACGATTAAATGAACACTTCAAACCAGTTTATCACGATTAACCAGTGACAGTTATCGTTGTATTTGATATTATACCATAAGATTATATTATATCAACGAATTAAAATATATTATAAACTTAAGTTTAATGGAATGATACAAAGCTGTTACTTACTCATAGTAGAAGTAATGTAGGTCGAGTTATAAGTAATTTTTAAAATACAAGTCAAACTACGAGCAATATAAATAACAATATAATTTAATTGCATTATTGTTTCTACGATTTTGAAATATCCTTTCTACTTTTTTGTCATTAAAACACAAGTAGCACTACAACATTTTAATGTTTGACATCTCAAAAGATTTTAAATAAAAGAAGAGTCTGAGATGGTGTGAATTTCATAAAGCATATTTCAAAATTTTAAAAGGTATTACTCATGTTTACCTGTGCATAACGTGGTTATCAGCAGAATTATCCTTTGCAACAGGGTAGCTTGGAGCTTCATTTCGTCAGTCCTGTTTACATAATCACATGTCACCCCCGCACCATCCCAAGGACACGCCTGCCCGTGTGCGTATGCGTGTGCGTATGCGTGTAACTACACGTTGCGTCGTGGCGGCGGCGACGGTGGACGCGCGGATACTACTGAGGGATATTTTCACCGCGGCGCTTTCCTCCCTCCCCTCCCTCACCTAGCCAACCCTCCCACAACGTTAAACCCCCACCTCGTCATTCACACGGGAAATGGTCGTTATGATTAGGTACTATCACTCGTGCTGTAACGCTTATCTATGGCTTTTCTGGTACACAACTAGAATAACAAAATAACACTATTTACGCGAGTTGCGTGCACTACTTTACCCACGACAGTTTTTTTAATTACTAACAATTACTACTCATTACTTCTAAGATGGGTTATGATTTCGTTTTCTCATTGCCACTGACAGTGATGTAACAAATCATTGTACCAAACATTAATTGCACCACTCATTTAAGTTCCAAGTAAATTAAATTTAATTGGCCTGAACAGATGATTTGTTGAAGTTCAAAGCATTGCAATTTTACTTCTTTTCTATTAATCCTTGAACCTCATTGGTCCTTTACCCGTGTTGTTAAGTAAAAAAAGAATGCTGTTAAGTAAGTAAACCATGTTGTTAAGTAAATCTTTTCAATTTTAAGAACAGGAACTGAACTGAAATGGCTAGTCTAAAACTGTCGTAGGTAAAGTAATTTTTCGATACATTTGTTCAGAAACTATTTTAGACTTTTATTTTATCTGTTTGGTTAGGTATAAATTTGAGTGTATAAAACCTCACAATACTGCTTGTGTGTGGTTGGTGATTTACCGTGATGGTGAGTTAATCTTGTTCTATGAAGTTATAAAATGTTAAGGTGGTTAGGTTAGGTGAGGTTAGGTGAGGTTAGGTTAGGTTAGGGTTCTGGAACACAATCCTTTCAGGACTTTTCTGGCCTAAGGACGGGATCAGATTCCAGACCCCGGAACTCCGTGAAATCCTACTGTGCCGATTGTTATAGGAATGTCCACAATGATCTCTTAAATAAACCAAGTGGATTATTGTAGGTAATGTTCCCTGTTCGAAGCTATCTTTCTCGTTTAGCCAGAACTAGTTTTTTTTCAACAACTATAAAATGGCTTTACTTCAGTCCTTAGAATCACTGTAAATAAAGCTTGATTAACTCAATCGATCTGTAAATGCTGAGAATTGATAAACTTACCAAGAAAAAAATTCGCATGAGATTAATAACAAACAAAAAGTAATAATGATAACTGTGTAAGTCTTTAGAAAGATAAAATTAAAATTGCAAAATCAATTAAGGTTATTGAGAGAAATTGATACCTACTAAGCGTATAATGGAAACTAGTCCAATGGTCGTAACACTAGCTTATTTCACGTAATGGAAAATGTCAGAACCTTTTAGTTTTGAAATATAAACTCATAACCAGCGAATTATTTGGCTTCACATTGGACACCAATCCCACAACTACTGATTGATCTATTCAACTTTATCAAGCTGGAAATTTAGAAATAAAGTTTTATAAAAATTATGTAATTTATTAACGATTAATTATATTTAAGTTTCAATTCTGAATTAAGATGGAATAACAGATTTAATTTCGATCTGCTATTTCATTTGTTTTTTTCACCTTACTCGTTCTAAATTTGTTTGTATGGTTTTACATTGATCAACCTTTTAGTGGTGTAAGGACGTAAAAAATGTTAAGTAAACCAAGACGTAAAGAGGAACCTAATGGAATCTAAAATCATAATTCAGGACCTAGGTCAGTATTTTGTTTGTGTTTTTAGTACTATTAGGGTAATAATGAATAATATATTAAATGGGGGTAATATATTAAATTTCATTTTCAGTTTAAATTTTCCCAAAAAAGTACTGTATAGCTTAATGTATAGAAGTTGCCTTTCTAATTTTGCTTCAATTTAGTTATGAATAATTAAACAAAACACTGTACTATGTAAAAATACGAATTATAATCTGTGTGTTATTACCAGGTGGATTACTTCAAAAAATACACTAAATTATATACAAGAATGTGTGTATTATTATCAAAATTGTCTCAAAACTTACTTTTATATAAAATTACTGATAATTAAAATATCAAATCAGTTCAATTCAATTACAGATATCATCCAGGTCAGGAGCCACATGTAATGTCTGTGGTAAGGTACGGCTGTCAGACACGACTGTGTAATTGATATTTGGTCACACTCACTACTCACCCAAGAGACTCACATTGTTCTAGTTAGACCAGGCATGCACTATACTGCAGTTCAATTACAGATATCATCCAGGTCAGGAGCCACATGTAATGTCTGTGGTAAGGTACGGCTGTCAGACACGACTGTGTAATTGATATTTTGTCACATTCACTACTCACCCAAGAGACTCACATTGTTCACCAGGCATGCACTATACTGCAGTTCAATTACAGATATCATCCAGGTCAGGAGCCACTTGTAATGTCTGTGGTAAGGTACGGCTGTCAGACACGACTGTGTAATTGATATTTGGTCACACTCACTACTCACCCAAGAGACTCACATTGTTCTAGTTAGACCAGGCATGCACTATACTGCAGTTCAATTACAGATATCATCCAGGTCAGGAGCCACTTGTAATGTCTGTGGTAAGGTATGGCTGTCAGACATGACTGTGTAATTGATATTTGGTCACACTCAACACTCACCCAAGAGACTCACATTGTTCTAGTTAGACCAGGCATGCACTATACTGCGGTTCAATTACAGATATCATCCAGGTCAGGAGCCACTTGTAATGTCTGTGGTAAGGTACGGCTGTCAGACACGACTGTGTAATTGATATTTGGTCACACTCACTACTCACCCAAGAGACTCACATTGTTCTAGTTAGACCAGGCATGCACTATACTGCGGCTCAATTACAGATATCATCCAGGTCAGGAGCAACTTGCAATGTCTGTGGTAAGATACGGCTGTCAGACATGACTGTGTAATTGATATTTGGTCACACTCATTACTCACCCAAGAGACTCACATTGTTCTAGTTAGACCAGGCATGCACTATACTGCAGTTCAATTACAGATATCATCCAGGTCAGGAGCAACTTGCAATGTCTGTGGTAAGATACGGCTGTCAGACACGACTGTGTAATTGATATTTGGTCACACTCACTACTCACCCAAGCGACTCACATTGTTCTAGTTACACCAGGCATGCACTATACTGCAGTTCAATTACAGATATCATCCAGGTCAGGAGCCACTTGTAATGTCTGTGGTAATGTACGGCTGTCAGACACAACTGTGTAATTGATTTTTGGTCACACTCACTATTCACCCAAGAGACTCAAATTGTTCTTGTTAGACCAGTCATGCACTATACTGCAGTTCAATTACAGATATCATCCAGGTCAGGAGCCAAATGTAATGTCTGTGGTAAGGTACGGCTGTCAGACACGACTGTGTAATTGATATTTTGTCACATTCACTACTCACCCAAGAGACTCACATTGTTCACCAGGCATGCACTATACTGCAGTTCAATTACAGATATCATCCAGGTCAGGAGCCACATGTAATGTCTGTGGTAAGGTACGGCTGACAGACATGACTGTGTAATTGATATTTTGTCACACTCACTACTCACCCAAGAGACTCACATTGTTCTAGTTAGACCAGGCATGCACTATACGGCAGTTCAATTACAGATATCATCCAGGTCAGGAGCCACTTGTAATGTCTGTGGTAATGTACGGCTGTCAGACATGACTGTGTAATTGATATTTTGTCACATTCACTACTCACCCAAGAGACTTACATTGTTCACCAGTCATGCACTATACTGCAGTTCAATTACAGATATCATCCAGGTCAGGAGCCACATTTAATGTCTGTGGTAAGGTATGGCTGTCAGACATGACTGTGTAATTGATATTTTGTCACATTCACTACTCACCCAAGAGACTCACATTGTTCACCAGGCATGCACTATACTGCAGTTCAATTACAGATATCATCAAGGTCAGGAGCCACATTTAATGTCTGTGGTAAGGTATGGCTGTCAGACATGACTGTGTAATTGATATTTTGTCACATTCACTACTCACCCAAGAGACTCACATTGTTCACCAGGCATGCACTATACTGCAGTTCAATTACAGATATCATCAAGGTCAGGAGCCACATTTAATGTCTGTGGTAAGGTATGGCTGTCAGACATGACTGTGTAATTGATATTTTGTCACATTCACTACTCACCCAAGAGACTCACATTGTTCACCAGTCATGCACTATACTGCAGTTCAATTACAGATATCATCCAGGTCAGGAGCCACACGTAATGTCTGTGGTAAGGTATGGCTGTCAGACATGACTGTGTAATTGATATTTTGTCACATTCACTACTCACCCAAGAGACTCACATTGTTCACCAGTCATGCACTATACTACAGTTTAATTACAGATATCATCCAGGTCAGGAGCCACTTGCAATGTCTGTGGTAAGGTACGGCTGTCAGACACGACTGTGTAATTGATATTTGGTCACACTCACTACTTACCCAAGAGACTCAAATTGTTCACCAGTCATGCACTATACTGCAGTTTAATTACAGATATCATACAGGTCAGGAGCCACTTGTAATGTCTGTGGTAATGTACGGCTGTCAGACATGACTGTGTAATTGATATTTTGTCACATTCACTACTCACCAAAGAGACTCACGTTGTTCACCAGGCATGCACTATACTGCAGTTCAATTACAGATATCATCCAGGTCAGGAGCCACATGTAATGTCTGTGGTAAGGTACGGCTGTCAGACATGACTGGGTAATTGATATTTTGTCACATTCACTACTCACCCAAGAGACTCACATTGTTCACCAGTCATGCACTATACTGCAGTTCAATTACAGATATCATCCAGGTCAGGAGCCACATGTAATGTCTGTGGTAAGGTATGGCTGTCAGACATGACTGTGTAATTGATATTTGGTCACATTCACTACTCACCCAAGAGACTCACATTGTTCACCAGTCATGCACTATACTACAGTTTAATTACAGATATCATCCAGGTCAGGAGCCACTTGCAATGTCTGTGG